TAAATACCCATGTCTGTGAGTGGGATCCAGGGTGCTATAAATTTGATTTTGAACAGAAAACAAAATGAGGATAAAGAGGTACTTCAAATGTCTTCAGTGAACTTAGCATTGTTTTGGGCATGTAGCAGACATTATTTTATTTCTTTACTATAAAGCTGAGAAATGGGTATTTTTTCCATCTAAGGAAGCTGAAGCTCAGAGAGATTCAATAATACTCCCCATATATTGTGTTCCAACCAAGGTCTGTCTGTCTGAAACTAGTACTCTTTCTGCTTCATTATGTTTTCTCTGTAAATTCAGTTTACATGATTTTTAAATGTCTTTGGCTTTTGTTTTCCAATGAAGAATGTAGAATTTTAAATCAAGGTCCTACATCTCTCTCATCAATTAGAAATACATATCCACAGTCACCTGTAGGCTGCTCCATCCCTCTCTGAAACTGATAACACCCCGGAAGCCAGTATACAATGGCTTTTCACTTGCTAATCAAAAGGATTTCACAAATACTCTAACATCTCAATGGCTAAAGGCTGAAAAATGGAATGACTAAGAGCTGAGAAACAAAATGCGTCTAGTATGTGGTTAGAGTACCTCAATGGGTAGAAAATCCATATGTTTAGTTCCTTTACCTACTCCGAATCTTTGGAGGAACTGGAACCTTTCCCCTGGACCTTGGCACCCAGAAAGGGATAGAAAGTTCTGCTTTCTATCCACATTGGTGGACCCCAAACTGCTTTTTCTGTTTTGCTTCTGCCAGCACTGCCTCCTGAGGTCCACGTCTCATTGTTCCAGGAGCATGCTGGCTGGCGATCATTGTACCTTGGAAGCTGCCCTGAAACCCAGTTCTCTGACAGGCTCTGTCTCCACATTGGTTGGGTGATGGTGTCTGCCTGGGTAAAACTGGATTTGCAAAATTCCTTTTAGAACCTGATTTATGGTTGTAAACTCTTTCTGTAGATTTCTTATTGGATTGACTATTCCATAGTTTGCCTTAAAAGCCACCTTACATTCTCTTTGCTTTCATCGTTGCTTAGGAGCCTAACTCCTCTTACCATATTCATTCCTGGAAAGTCAAAGCTTTAAGATGAAGAATAATTTCTCTTTAAGATTAATTATTATTTCTATTTCATTTATAGTATCTGAAGATTTAGTGACAGAGGTTTAAAGAGCTGAAAACTGAAGTTAATAAAAAAAATGCCAAAGTCTGAATTCTTTAAAATCTCCTAAACCCTCCTCTCCTCATCTTTCTTCCCCATTCCCCCACTATATTCTATATTTCTCTGTTTTTCTCTTTGTCTTTCGGTCTCCTTCTTTTCTTAACTTTTCACCTTGGTTCTTTTCCAGTTGCCTCTCCTTTTAACTTCCAAAAAGAGAAATCATAGTATATATTTTTTATCCATTGGAATAATTTCCTTTCTTGTCACAATTTTTAAAATTAAGCATGTGTAAATTTTAATACGCTGTCAGAGAGCATAGGCTCAGTATTTGGAATATAGCTAAGTCTCAAGAAATGTGTTGGATGGATAGATGTTCCTCTCATTGCTCCTGAAACAATTTTTAAAAATATATAACCTAAGCTAACTCAATTTTTACAAAATTCAATCAACCATTCAAATATTAATCAAGAGTAGGCTCTAGTCTCAGTGCTGAGGCTAGGACTGTGAAGGACACAGATTAAGTATGATTTTCACTCTCAAGTAGTTTACAAACTACTGGGAGTACAAGAATATGACCCGTGAAACAACCTGGGAAATATGAAAAAAGAACACAATTAGAGGCTGACTTGCGTGATATAAACTGCAGGCATTGTGAATGCACAGAAAAGAGGTCTCAATGCAAAAAGGGCGCTTGATTAATTTTTCTGGGAGAAAATAGAAGGAACTATATATAACAACAACCATAAAACAACAACAGTAACAAATGGACCTTCTAATCCTGGTACATCTTATCTAATGAAGTTTTGCTTACCAAAATGTACGTCTTATCTAATGAAGTTTTAGTTTTCAGCTTGAATATGTTAACTGCCCAGTCTGAACTGATTGCTAGTACATTTCAGAGTAAGTTGTTTAAGTATTTTTGCACACCTTCCTCAGCAAGAAAAATCCCTTGGTTTTATATTTAATTGCAGGAAGTTGACATCTTTTTAGATAGGGAGTTCAGTATTGCAGCCAAAGAATTTAGTAATGAGGGACACGTTCTTCAAATGGTTGTAGGGCAGTTTTAACTCCATTAAATGTTTCTATCAGCACAGACTCAAAGTCACCATCCTCTGTTCTCTTCTCACCACTCTTCTCTTCACTCTCCTTTCTTTTTTTTTTTTTTTTTTCCTTTCAAGGAGAGAGTATCAACCAAGTAATGGAGAAATCAAATCTGAAAAGAATGTCTCACAGGCTAAGGGACTCACTCAGCAAGAGATGATGACGAGGTTAGCTCAAATTTAAATTAATTCCCAACCTTTCCCATACCAATGGTCGACATCTAACTTGGCTAATCCGAGCAAAACTGATATATTAAAATAACTTTAAAGGTAGGTTCTTGGGCTTTTTGCCTGCCAGCAGATAGAGGTTGTGAATATACAGGGCAGTCCGTCTGCCTGATACTTCAGAGAAGATCTAAAAAGAATGCTGGTATCACAGAAGACCATCAAAATTGTTTTCCATTTGTTACTTGAGAAATGTGTAGCTTGCTTAATTGCTACTGACCCATGTTCTGCAAACTACTGCCACTTAATTATGTGTTGATGCTGTTTGGGTTTTGGTTTATATTAGATATCTGATATCCACAGGTCAAATAAACACCGTCTTTGAATCACATCCCTGTGGGTTACATACATAATAGTTCATCTTTTCACAGTGGGAGGAAAGAAAGTGGGAGACAATTCAAAGGCTATCCCAAATAAACAGACAGAAGTAAGGCCACAAATGCTACCCTGTGCAGACCTGTTCTTACTCAGTTCTCCTTAAGGAGATAACAACTACTGACACAAGAAGAGATAAATTATGTTCAGTGTTTCACCGTCAGACCGTTTCAACATGCATTGTTACTTCGTTTTCTTTATCTCCTTTTCTAATGTGCTGGTGTATTTTGGCTGGGGAAATTTTCATTCAGATGCATCCAGTGCAGTGAAAAGTGAGGAAAAGAGCCACTACTACCCAGAATATTTTGAAGAAAGGTATGACAAGACAGAAAAAAAGTATATTTTTTTTCTGATGTGAACAGTTGTTTGCATCAAAATTTTAATTGTTATCAGATCTTCAATGGAGTTGCTAGGAAAGGTAGTCAGATAAAGCCTCAGGTTAATTTCCATCATTACTGAGCACTTTACACCACTGACAAATTTTAAACATATAAAGAGATGTCAATCTTGCTCTTTAGACAGAAAAACAAGGTGGGGAGTGGTGGCTCTTCAAAGGCTGTCAGTAGACAAGTCAGTCAATTACAGATCTGATTTAGTTCTTAACTCCTTGAGGTAAAAGACAAATGTTCTGCAAGAGTAACCATTCCTGACATGCATTAAATGAAACAACTTTTAAAAACTGTGTGATCATGATAATGCAGATTGAGGTGAAGAGCTTTGAAAAGAGTTGAAAAATCAGGATCAGATATATGAATCCACATGACAAATGGGTAAATTGAAGCACTTTTGCTATTTGTGGGAAGTGGAATGTCCCTACTATTAGTCATCAGAGATTTAGGAAGGCATTATTGTGTGATTTTTCAAAGCCAGGAACAGACTAAATGAGTTCACATCCCAGTTCTACCCCGACTGTGTGGCCTTGGCTAAGTTACTTAACCTCTCTGTACCTCTCTTTATCTTTGAAATGGGGATGATGGTTTCACTGACCCCTTAGTGGTGGTGTACAAATTTAAGTTATTACCTATAAAGCAAAATCTGTAGGGTTTTCGCTCAATATCATAATTAATCCATATGCAGCAATAACTTCCATGATTTAGGAAATATATGTGGCATTATAGAATCCTTCCTGAAATTTGAAATATTTACAGATGATATTGGCAGTGAATGTCTGCTGATGATGCACATCATTTCCCTTTAAGCAGGGTTGCAAGTTTCTATGGCCCCAGTGAACACTCCTGAAGTTAGATAGAACTTATTAACCCTTCCATAGCATCCTTTTAAGATGATAATTTATCTTTTTAACTGTATTCGGTAAAAGCAGCAGAAAAGAGCCAGGTGGGAATAACAACCTGGTATTATATATAGCCATAAAGTTTACCAGTTCTATAGATTCTGCTGCAAGGCACACTAAAATGGAGTAAAATGTAACTTATCTTGAACAGTTGCTTGAATGAGTTACTAGAGGAATGGCAAGTTTACAGATAAAGCAAAGGAAACCCAAGGGAGTTGAAGGTTGTGACCATTTTATTTAGGATGCATAGTTGTAAAACCTAACTTAAGGCATACAAGTTAGGTCTTTGGAGAGTTTTCTCGGAGGTTTGCAAACAAATGTGAAAGTCTATAAAATACGTGGTTTTGAAATAACTCTCTGTGAAACGATGGTTTGAGGGTCCATGGGGAGTGCCTTTATACCTGTCAAACCCTAGTAGTTTGGTTGAAAAGAGAATGCCTGGTTGTTTGCATTTTCCCTGTCCCCAAAAGATCTCCTTGGCCACTTTTTGTATCTATCCTCAGCTTGACTGCTGACAGAGTATTCCATGGCATTCCTTTGTTCTGAAAGGGCATCCTTTAGTTTCACACTAGTCTCAAGTTCACATAACCAGGCAATCCCATACACCTTTCCATCTGTTAAGGTTTTCCTGTGTAGGGTGCTGTTCTCAAACTCGTTTTAAATATGAAATTATCATCCTTTACTGTCAGTAAAGGATCCTTTTCTTTCCCTGTAATGCTGAAGGTGTGAATGGAATTCTCCAGGGACAGTGTCTGTGAAGAAGATATTCATGGACAACTACATGGCTCAAATAGATAAATTCAATTAGCCCTTCCTGGAAAGCCTCAGTTTACTTTACAACTCAGTATTTTAAAGAATTTTAATGAAATTCTAATTACTGTGTAAGAAATAAGTCAAATTCCTCTTCTCTCACTGTGAAGGGCTTTTATTACCCACTGCTATAAAACATATATCTTTTTTTTTTTCTGTTGCTATCCTAGCTGAGTAGCTTGCATACCAATAGGATCACTAAAATGCCACGAAGCAGAACATATTTATCTGTTAAATTCTACGTACAGTAACCTAACAAATGCCAGAGACAGAAAGATTGCCCTCTGCACAGTAATACTTGTGTAGATGTCTTCTTTATGCTAACAATGACAGGGCTTCATGCCCTGTACTGTACTCAAAAATCAGGGTGCATTTTTTTTTCAATAGAAGACTCCATATCAAAAAGAAAAAGAACTGCACATTTTTGGCATTGAGATATTTTATGTGGGTAATAAATTTTTTCCCCTCGAACTCCACTAACAAGTATCTACCTAGAAGATGAAATGTAAGATTTATGTCATCAGAACTATTCAGTATACCAGAGGATAATTTTTTCTTCTTTTCAGGACTGTCAACTTTGTTTACTGTTTATGTTCAATTCTATCCTATATAAGAGATTAAATTGCCTTGTCATAGCCACATGTCAAAGCCTTCTTAGAAAAATAAGGTAATAAATGCAAAATTATATTAATAAGGAGTACTTTCAAAGACATATTACATTTATTGAAATCTAAATTATAACTGGAATGTTCTAATTATATTTGTACTAGTCAAAAAGAGATTTTTTAAGTATATAATGTTATGACACGTTAGTATGTTTTAAAATTGATGTGACTAAAGAATGATTAAAATATTATAAGTAACTTCAAGGAGACACATATGAAGTAATGTAAGCCCAGGAATTGCTTACATAAATCACCATGTATGTTGTCAAATCTGCTAGCCTCTTACATGCATTTTTAGTCCAAACTTAATCATTTGGCTATTGAAATCATTCTTAAAAATTGATCTCAAACAGTGTTATACAAACATCAGGGTTTTTAAAAGCCTTGCTACATTTAAACTTTTTCATAATACAATTTCAATCTCAAAACAATAAATAATCACATGGATAATGACAGTAACTGAATCCTAACTAATTGTAATACTTCTGCATAGCCTAGTAACAATTTAAAAATGGTGAAGAATAAATCTATTTGACAGGTCTGTTAGCAATAAGGCCTTCAGGTTTTTGCTTTGCAGCAAAATGAAGTAAAATCTATTATTTTTTGCTGTTGTTAGAAACGTTTCAACAGTTAGTTATTTTTCACAGACAATGCTGCAGGAGGACTCTCCAGGTTGGAAAAAAAAAAAAAAAATCTTAACACGGTTGAATTTTACACTTGGCTATTATTGGCCAGCATACATAATAAGTTAAAACATACTGAGAAATTAATATTTTTCTAAGAGGGAAAACTTGATAGAGGATTATATTTCTACATTACAGAGTGGATACTCTAATCTTTCTGGCATTGTAAAACTGAAGCTGGCTGCAGGGAAAATAAACATTATAATAACCGGCACTTAAACAATTGTACCTATATGGTTAAGTAACAAAAGCGTGAGGCACCTGGAATCACAGTATTTGTGCCTAATGCCAGCAACAATATAAAGCATTCAAGTGACATTTGATAATGAGCAGACAGTGGAGGCATTACACACGTCTTTAGAAGAATCAGACTTCCTACCTTGAAAAGACAGATGGAGGTAAGTTCCTTTATAAAAAAAAAGTTGTAAGTAAAGCCAGGCAGCAGTTGCAGTAAATTGAGTCCTTTCAGTCACTGTATACATACAGCAGTTCTGCAATAAGGGGAAAAATATAATGGGAGGAGCGGCTGTGAACGAGTGACCTCCTCAAGCTGAGTCCTCTCTGTGAACCAGGCATTGAGAGCCACGGCTCCTGATTTGCATGGATTATCTCCACTTGAACAGATACAGAGCAGATACATTTAAATTGAGCTGGCACAATGGCAAAAAGATGGAAGAGTGCATGAATGAGGGACAGCGCAAGAGAGGGAGAGAGAAAGAGAAACAGACACGAGATCGGAGAGCGTGGATAAGCTGGTTCTTGCAGAACTGTGTCTCAGAAGAGCTACAGCTCCCTCTTCATGTCACAGTTGTAAGATAAGAAATGTTGTCATTAAGAACTGGTTAATCATAGAGCAAAATATACTCAAATTAGCTGATGTTCGGTCCGATCCGATTTTTACGAACATGTTATGATTCTCCCTATTTTGTCATTAGGATTTTAGATAGCATACCCAAAATCTTTTATTAGTGGCCAGGTAAACACGTTTGGATGAAATTCTGAGTTTTGAATGAGATCAGTGTTTTGGCTTGAATGGCGTAGACAGCAGTGAAAGAACACAGACAATTAGTTAAGTGGAATATTTATTTTGAAAGAAAATTAATCCCTGTTAACTTTCAAAGAGCCAGTGATACATACTGCAATGTAAATAGAAAATAGTACTTAAATATTTCTTAATGATTATCTGAAAAGAACCCAACTGTACTACTGAATGGGAGCTTTTCAAAAATCTCTTTAAGTTGCTATTTTTGTTTTTCATATTGCTTCTTATTGGCATTTCAGGGTAAAGGAAATCCCTCTCTTTGAACAATACAGATGTATCTTTAAATAAACAATGATTATTAACTTATTCATTTAGCATCTTTAGAGTTTTCTGGGTTGTTTTATATTCATATTCTTGTTTTAAAAATGGGAAAGAGGAGAGGGCAAATACGATGATAACTCTTGCCAACAGCCACTCAATATAGGTCCATAGCAGATCTCAGAAGAAAATAATAACCCTCTTTTAGCAAGCTAATGTGAAGCCTGCCTTCTCTTTGTGTAAAGGTGTCTGCAGATACTTAAACAGCCTGGCAGTTAGGTGAATTCAAAGGAAAAATCAGTCAAACCAACTAGTTGGCTGCATTGCTCATAGCCTCGTAGGAGCTGGCATTAATGTGGTGTGAACCAAGTGGTATAGGTTAAATATATTTCAACAAATGGCATTAAAACTCTCAACATAAACATATGAGCATATTTGCAGAGAGTAGTAAGAGTTCAGTTAGATTTTTGCTGCTATTGGGACTCTACAGACTGTCAGGAAAGATAAAAAAAATTTAAATACACTACACTTGTAAGAACTCTGACTTGATGGACAGAAGTGATACTTTAAAAGAAATCTCAAGGAAAATGCCAACACACACTTCCATGAGATTTACTGAAGATCTGGAGTTTCTGAAGTATGCAAACTTAGTGACTTTAACAGTGTTTAGGAAACAATTGCCTGAAAGTAAGAGGGTGGAGACAATAGTTATTTTATGTCTCTGACATCCAATAGTCTGATTGCTCTCTAAGTGGATGGGTGACTTCTCAGGCTTTTTTCTATCTATTTGGATACAGCTTGTACGCAGGTTGGACTTGTAATATTACTGAGGTCTCAATATTACTTTTCAGGTTGTAAACACTTTTGAATCAGGGACCATATGATTTCCTCTAAAATATCTCCCTAAATATTTTGAAATTGTCCTTTACCTATTGTAGATATTTCATAATTTTTTGCTAAAAAAATATTGAAAATAACAGCAAAGTGTTTGTATTTCCTATACCTGTCATTTAAGGTAAAAATTGGATTCAGAAATTATGATGTCTTCTGTACTCTCATGAATAGAAAAGGAAAAGTAAATATAAATATCTTGTCATATAAAGCAAGTGATAATAGTACCAGTAGTGCTAGATTGTATATTGACATGTAACCATAATTTAGGCGCCCCTTCTTTAAACCAGGGGATGCCTTCCAGATGGCATATTTAGTGGTATGAGTCACAACTTTCTGGGCACCAGTTTTGTGACTCAGACATTTATCTGTTCGACCCTGGGCAAGTTAAGTAACTTCCTTATAAAATGTGGATAATAAAATAACCTTACTTATATGGTTGGTGTAAGAAATAAAGGAAAAGGCTTAGCATAGCACCTGGGTAAACACTTAATCAGTGTAAGGTATAATTATAATTATTACAAATCTGTTTCCATTGAACTTCATTGTCTATCTCTAAACTGGGAAGTGTTATTATGGTGTCTACTGAATGTAGAAAAAAGATGACTGCTTGTTATTGGGTTTTTCTGGTCACTACATGAGAGGGGGCTCCTTCCTGTTCACTGACAACCAGAAGGACAGGTGTTTTTACCTTTTCATAAAAGACAAAAATAGAAATACTGTTCCCAGGAGAACCAGAGAGTGTCGTAGCAGCAGATCCAACCTTCTGTACAGGAATGGAAATGGCTTGTGTGGTACATGTGAAGGGCACCCAGAAGCACTCTGGTCCAGAAATATCTTCCCATCTGTCTTCTCCTATTTCCTGAAATGCCACCATTAGGGGTTCATTTCTATGTTTTACTGGCTTCCCAGTCTCTTTTTCAATTCACTCACTACTGGCAAAATTAACACATGAACGAATTTACACTTAGAGTGACACATGAATTCACAGTAGTTCTAATTATTCTATCAGAGATACTTTTTTGTAGTAACAAGGTTGAAGATCAGCATGCCAAGGAAAGGTCAGATTTCAGTTAAGGTAAAGAGAAAGCTCCTTTGGCGTATGTGGCACTGTGTAGGGGTAATGAGGATGGTGCCCCACCTGTGCTGCTAGTGTGGGAGGGACCCTGCAGCAGGAACTCAGAGGGTGACTGTGAAGGAGGTGGCCTCCTGGTTCACTAGAATGAAGAGGAGGGATTCATTCATTCATTCAATAAAAATGCGGTGTTTTGTCAGCAAGTACCTAGGGTATACATATGAAAATGTATGATACTTGCCTTCAGTTTTTAGCAAAAATGATGGAAACAGGCATGTAAACAGATTGATACTAATATTGAACAACTGTACAAAGACAAAACAAACAGAGAAAAGAAAGCAAAGAAGGCAAAACACGGTTGGGGGTAATTAAGGAGTTCTCTATAAGCTAGATGATGCGTGATGTGACTCTTGATGACAGAGTAGAAGCTGTTTGGGCAAGTAAGGGATGCAGGAGGAGAAGGCCAGGGTGAATGAACACGAGGACAGAGACAGGGCAGCAGGAGAGAGCGCCACGAGCTGGGGCAATCAGTGGCATATGCTCAGAGCATAGAGTAGAGGATCAGTGGGAAATGGAGACAGACCAACTGGAATGTTAGGGCACGACTGGGGAACAGGTCACAGAAAGGAGAAACACTGGGCATAAGCATGATGGATCATTTGTACCTCCTGGGCCTCAGCCTTCGACTTGCACATGTGTTCTTCCAGGCTTCCAGACCTGGGAACACACACATAGAGAAATGTTTAAATGACAAGGAGTGCTGTCTACCGTGACAGAAAGGGGGATATGGTGCCAATTAGATTAGAGATCTAAGTATTTAGGGAGTGGAAATGTGCCAAAATTGTTTGTGAGTATCTGCCACTCCATTTCCTAACCCAAAATGGGTATATTCTTATATGAATTAAAATTAATTGTATTTGGAGACTTCGGGTACAGCAAATCAAGGTGGGAATTGCTGCTGGAGTCCTGGAACTCATTTAGCTTAGAAAAAATATCGCACTTTGAAATCCTTAGTGAGACAGATTACCAGCATTAATGCCATTAATACTAATGATGGGTAATAATTGGAAAATTATATTTATAAAACAATGATAACAGAGTCAAACCAAATAGCAAACCTCCCAAGTCTAATATAAGACACTATATTATAAGCTTCCCATTCTCTTCTATTGCTTGAATTTTAGTTATTTTGACATATTTATCCAGAAAATATTGAAGTTTCTATACTTAACCCAGGAATGACAAATTGCTTCTTGTAAATATTACGCTTACAGTAAAATTCACTCTAAGATAAATGATTACATAGATATTGGACCCAGTAGTGGGAAATACATTTGAATTCTAATAAGGACTGGTTCAAGCTTAAAAACAATTAATAACTGTCAATTTCCCATAAACACAATGACAAGTAAAACCTCCTTTTTTTTAGGCACCCAAACCACAAATGATTAAAAAAGTATGCTGATTAACAGAATGACTGAATATATTAGGATTATTTTAAATTACCTTTCGATTGTAGCCCTCCCTCCTCACCCCCACTGGCTACAACGAAGGTTGAAAGAGTGGTTTCATTCAACATTCCATTCTTTCCCAAATATTTTAAAACTATTTAAAGTTCCATAGCAGCCAGGGAGGTATGCTATTTGAGTTTCCCTTCAATAAAAAACCTTGTGGTTCTCCGGCAAGGAATGAAGTTAGCTGACAGACTCCACCTTCAGAATTCACCTTATCAGGTAGTTCTTAGATAGTGACTAAGATTAATGGGGTTCTTTCGGCCTGTCTGTTTCCGCCCAGTGCAGGATTCCTCTCATGGACGGCTTTTATTCCTAGTTCCCTTTGGGTTGGTCAAGACTCTCAGATTTAGCATTGTGGTCTGAGGCTTACCTGCTCAACCCCTGACTTTTTCCTGTTTTGATTTTCAGAGGTTTGGGTCCCTGATCAAACTCTTAAGACTCTTACGTCCCTGTTCCCTTTCAGTGTTTGCTTCCCAGCAGACACAAGTTCCTAACGATTAACAATTTTTTATGTGACGCAGAACCAACCCTTTTTTCTCATTCCTTCACTTCAATGTTCACAGAACTGGGTTCTTGCTCTCATGTATCCGTAGGACTCCTAGACAGCTCCACAGCCGTGTCTACTTCCCAGATATTCTTAATTCTGAAACAATATTCTTTGCAGAGGTAAAAGTTCTTCAGGACTTGCTCCCACTGAATGGGTTCTCAGATTACTTCTTTGTTTCCACACCTCTGATGTACTGAGTACAAAACATAGTCACTCTACCAAACACAGAATTGAATACCCCAACAGACTTATTAGACTAACTGCAACAGACAGACAGGCAGCACAAACAACAGGTTGATATACTTAGATCAATAAGGCTCTGGAAGACATTCAGGTTCAGCGCTGAAAGAAGTTCACATTAAGGAGGGTTTGAAAGATGTAAGACAATCTAAAAGGATCTTGCTGGTAGGTAGTGTGAA